TCTCTGGAATGGCTTAATATTTTCAAAAGCGGTTTGTTTTATTGAATAGCCTAATAATGTGATGATTTTGGGCACAAAAAATAATTTTTTAATTCTAACGCTTTCTATGTAATTTCGGGACCATCTCCGGGACACGTTTTCCGGTCACTTCCGGTGACCACATCCGGTAAGTGTGGTGTGTGTCCGATAGAGGAACAACAGATCTTTCATTTGAGCCCTTAATCGGTCCAATAGGTTGAGAAACACAAAAGTTATGAAGGGTCAAAGTTCACGAATTTTGCCAAAATGTACAGGATGCAGCAATAATTTGGGAAAATCTTGGAAAATTTTTAATTTTTTTCAAAAATATGGTAAATTTGGTACATTTTGGCAAAATTCGTGAACTTTGACCCTTCATAACTTTTGTGTTTCTCAACCGATTGGACCGATTAAGGGCTCAAAAGAAATATCTTGGTCATTTCTATTGCTATTTTCGATATTCCGAGGTTTTAATATTAACCGAGATTTGAGTAAATTACGAAAAAATCAAGAAATACCCCATGTATTTCCAATGGCAAAATGTGGTTTAATTTTGAAATTAAATTACTTAGTTATCCTGGTGGATTTATACAACAAATTGCATACCACTAGATTTCGACATAATCCAGCTACATTTTGGTGAAAACCGATTAAGGATTGGATTATCCGTTCAAAAGCTATTCAAGTTATCCCGACTAAAGATAGAAGATGTCATATGCTGTATGTCTGAAGCGTTGGGCGTCGTATCGGCCAGTGATGAGAGGTTTGCATTGATTTTGTACTCAATTTTGGCATAAATTGTGTGAAAATGTTAACAATATTTGTGAAAAGCAGTGAAACACTCACTTATGAAGCGATTCTCGAGTCGTTTGTCACAAACAATGCATTCAAATGTGATTACAATGAATGCAACAAAAGATTTTCATTGCAATCCATTGACAAATTGACTGCATTTTCGCATTCAATCCGTTCACACAAAACATTAGCATTTTGTGACAAAAAACACATAATTTTGTCTAAACTCTGACACAAGTCCCGAAATTGGCACAATTTTTCTAATTCACAATACATTTGAAATAACATTTTCGTACAATTTATTATACAGCATAAGATTTAATAATTGAAACATTTTTCTAAATTACATTTTCTAAAAATAATTTTGTGATGCTTTTAACCAGTATTAATACAATATAACTGAACATAAGTAAGCGACAAATACTTTACATTTTGGTTAATGTTTAACAGATGCCACAAAATTAATATAATTGAAACATTTTTCTAAATTACATTTTCTAAAAATAATTTTGTGATGCTTTTAACCAGTATTAATACAATATAACTGAACATAAGTAAGCGACAAATACTTTACATTTTGGTTAATGTTTAACAGATGCCACAAAATTAATATCTTATGTCTGCAACAAATATCCTTTTTATTGGTTATCAATAAACCCATGAAATGTGTATTTTTAGCATATTTTATGACCAAAACGACTGATAAATCATAAAATAAATACAGTATTGTTTATAAACTAATAAATCAATTACATTAAACAAATGTTTATCAAAATTTTTATCAATTTTGTTTGTAATATACCGGTAAGAATACCTTGATAAAACTCGAATATTGTTACTCAATTAACTTTTTTACGGTAATTAAACACAAAATGTACACAATTTACTATTCGTTACACATGTTTACATAGGTATTAGAAAAACAATGATTATATACTAATTAAGATAATTATTTCGATTCAGTTTTAATAATGATTATATGAATGAAAAAGTAATTATATTTGTCATCAAAATATGACAACAGGTATGCCTCCAATAAGTCATACCATACCGTGGTATTTGATGCACGG